ACGGGCTCGCTTCAAATCAGGCTTATCCTTATCTGAGGGCGGGTACATGTCCGCACAGTGGGCCGTACCTGGATAATTAACAAACTTTGAAGGAGGCTCTGGATTTTGAAGGAAATTGGACCTACCATTTATCAGAAATGGTACGACTGAGTCATGATTGGAGGTGTATTTGCCCAATGCATGCCATGGATCAATGGACCCATTAGGAATGACGACATTCGTGCCCTAAAAACGTTTAGAATTTAAGTTGTGGAAAAAAGATGTAGTAGCATGTCTTCATCAGTTTACAGAAAGCGTTTTCTACCTTATTTATTGATTTTGATCAAAATTGAAGAGATAATCCTTGTTGGAAGGAAGGAGCTTGATATCTGGATAAGACCATTACGAACAATTCAACTTTCAAGGCAGACTAAACTCCTCTATAGCAAGAAAGCCAATTGCACGACTATTTAGGTATTAGTCAGAGTGCTCCCACCATATTGTGCATTGGAATTTTTTTGCATTGCTAAGGAAGACTGAGAGAATATCTGCTACTCATATGACTGAAGGAGCTGATAATCAAAAATCAGGCAGGTTCTAAAAGGCCTTTAAAGATGCTGTTTACAGACTAGGAGTTATACAAGGTGCTTAGCGATATTAACGCAAGAATAAGATTGATGAAATAGTATGACGAATATAAAACTGGAGTTTTGCAATTAAATGTAGCGCAACAGGACCTTGGAGACTTGACCCTCGAATTTTTCTCACAAAAAAAGTTTTAGAGGGAGACAAATTTGGGAATGAGAGTCTAAAGGGAGCGGCTAAAGTTGTAAATCTCCCAAAACTCCTGACTATAAGCATTATATAAAACTAACGAGCTTCTGCAGAAGAACGAAATTTTGCTACGAGGTCCCCCTGCATTACACATTTATTCGTTAGTAAGAATTTTCGCGGAAAAGCATAACAAAAAGAAGACGTACAGCCAAAAAATTCTCGCAGCGTGATGGAATCAAGAACAAAGGTTTGATGATTTTCTCTGAGTTCGATTCTTGTTTTATACTTTATTATATCACCTCAAAACATAGGAAAAATTCTGGTCTACTGCCATTTCCCCAAAAGTTCGAACTGCGAACAACATAACAACTCTCCGATATCTCAGCAATACATCCCAAAGAGAAAACGTTTCGAGAAAAAACATAGTCATAGGAAAAAGGAGCAGGAATGGATTTTTCCTATTTTCAACTTGCCTAGACTAAATTATGCAGATATGGATTAGCATTAAGAAACGAAAAAAAGGTGATGTTGAGGTTAACCAAACGCATTGCCTTCACGTCCAAGTAGCCAATGGTACAAAAGCTTGGCAACTCATTTCAAATCGAGCTGTTCATTAGAGGCTTTGTAGGTTTAGGTAAGTCAAATAGGGATCTGAAATTTCCAATACTGCTCTTAAGGAAAAAGATTGAAGCACTTTGCGGCTGGACATTTCCCTAATTCATTGAGGGTCGTACTTGAGCGATTTTTTTTGAGAATATTCGATATAAACCCTAACAGTTGCAGGACATCTTGCTTACTAATTGTTCTACACATATGAATAAAACAACAAATGGTTTTTTCTTCTATTAAAAAATTTTCATAGAGTACACTTGTAAACTTGAAAATTGAATTTTATGAAGGGACCCCCAATTCTAGTAGTTATCCTTCAACATGTCTCCGATACAAAGTTATTCATCACAGTTTTACCTTCCTTTGCTTGTTTTGCTGAAAAACGCGTTGACGTGCCACATTTTCACCAATAAAGATTTAGGGGCCTCTTATAAATTCGGCACTTATGCCCCTACTTCACTATGCAATATAACATAGGCTGAATAGTATAGGACGTGGCGTATACCTTGCCCACCTTGAGTATACCGTATGAGCTTGGGGAAATACAATAGGAGTATACACTTTACACAATGCAATTAATTATCTCCCTATTACATTATTCGCATATATTTTGTTGGCGAATGAACTGTTTATATGACTTGAAACTTACTCTATATCTTTCCGATCCACCATAATGCATTTGTGTGTTATGCACAGCTTTTGATATAGATTCACTATTGTATGCAGATCCGTACGCATCATTGCATATATTAATACGGATCCTAAAATATTCTCAAAGACACTTAAGAATGTACCAATCGCGTTGTATAAATGGGAAAAAACCATCAAAGGGAAAATATTCTAGTTTTACTAACGTTAATGGCGAGCTAGAACCAAAAATTCCTCTTGGACCTCCATCAGTGGACTGATAGTAGCCGAATTCGGTACATTTCTGCCAAAACCAGCTTCGAAAACTAGCTGAACATCATATTTTGAAAATCAGCATCTGAATTTGTGCAACTATGCCTTTTCGTCCTTCAATTAGGCGAGAAAAGTTTGGTTTACCCTTACTGCATAGTTGAAGTAAGTTGTCTACACTTTGCACGCATATTCCAAAATTGCTTCCAAAAAGGAGTTTGTCTTTGTACAAAAACCTCAAGAAAAGTGTTCATTTTCGAAGCATTTTAGGCTAAGCCTTATATGAGAGGAAAGTGGTCCGTTTTTACAAAAATTTCAATCGCTAATGTTGTTTTCCTATTGTCCAGAACATCAATGAAAGTGATATGCTTTTTTATTGCTACCTTTAAAAGTGTCAAAGGGCTTAGCACTTTCACTCACAGTCGAATTCTGCTGTATTGCCGAATTCTTCAACCTTCAGGTAGTCTATCATGTCCGTGTAATTGTTTGACGTATGGTCAAAGGGTCTGTACATGCCTCAAAATGCCAAAAATTGATGTCATTCCCTCAAAACATGGTATCAAACTTACTATTCATATATATATATTTACATT